AATTAACGGCCGTGGGGATTCGTTGCGCTGGACACGTGACACCTTCTATCCGCTAAAGTTGACACTATTATTATTATTATTATTATTATTAGAAGGGGTGGGTTTCCCCGTGCACTTAGACCAGTTATTGGTCCATTGTGCGTCCCCCTTTAATTCCTACTGTCCCATACTCTACCGGTACTGGTGCGTGCTATCAGCCCCGTTCAACAAGGTCGGCCGTCGGTACTACTTGGGCGGGAAATTTTTGCCTAATTAATTTTGCTCAGAGGTCTACCAGAGACATGAGGATCTTTTACGTGCCGATAATCTACGACACGGGACCCATGGAGGACTTGTTCCCTGAATTTTTCCGCCCTTAAAAATTCCACGACCTCCGCCGGGTTTGAACCCGAGTACCTTAAGTCATGAGGTGGGAACGTTACCCCTAGACTGCGGAGGCCGCTAAAGTTGACACTAACTTCGCCGACAAGAGGCGGTCGCTCGGTAGTTGTAGTTCGCTTGCAGACTGAAACCACGGAGTTTGTTTTGTTTGTTTCTTGTCCCTGTGCTCAACCAGCTAAGCACTACGCCATGAAGGCACATGGAGGAGTGAATGTACAGAGCCACATTTTGTTGACTTCGGCAGTAGTTCAAGTTGAGTGGCCAGCGTCACGCCCCGAACTCATTACCCAGGTACCCATTGGCGGAATGGGATGGCTGGATGGGCAGCAGAGCCTGTCTATACGACCTAAAGATGAGAAAATTGTTGACCCTACCGGGACTGGAACTCCGACCCCTGTGTCGTCCAGCCCGTAGCAGTCGCTATACCGACTGAGCTATCCCGGCTCCTAAGTGTTACGCTTCGTTAGATAATGCAGCGTAAGCGGCCGAACAACCAGAAATGTTACTGTATGAGCATATCTTCTCATTTTTTTTCTCATGCTCAAACTAATCTAGAAGTTTGTTTAGCTTACTTTGTCCCTCGGAATTTAGAAGTGCAAATGTTCATATGTTGTCACATGTTAACATCCTGTGTATACCTGGATACATGAAGACTTTCTGCAAGACACAATAAGCCATGTAATGATTAGAAGAGTGTCATAACAAATTTGAAAAAATTATGGTCTTATTTTGCTTTATGAATTTTTTTTCCCTTTCAAATTAATTTGTCTTTATTCAGTGTTAATAGATTCAGAAATTGAGTGTTGACTTGAGTGCTTGAAGATGGTGAATAGTTGTGAACAAATAAAATGAGAATTTCATTGTAATGAATTTTAATGTTGTAACTTCCAAACAAATGCGCGCTGTTAGAGTTTGACGTAGCGGCCTCCGTAGTTTATGGGTAACGTTCGCACCTCATGACTCAAGGTACGCGGGTTCAAACCCGGCGGAGGTTGTGGAATTTTTAAGGGCGGAAAAATTCAAGGAACAAGTCCTTCGGGAGGGACTTTAAGCCGTGGGTCCCGTGTCGTAGATTTACGGCACGTAAAAGATGAGGCGACACATTTCCCGCCCAAGTAGTTTCCAATGCCTCTGGTAGATGGGGGAAATATCAGGTACCGAGGACCGACCTCGTTGGCTGAACGGGGCTGATNAATAAACTTGGGTAACCTGGTAGATCTTGGTGGAAATTTGGTAGTGGTCATGGTGATTCCAGCGGCTGGATTCAGCTGTTGTGATACTTGTCATTGTGGAATATGGGTTCTAGATGGCAGCGGTGCCAGTCGTAGAGATTGTGATGACACTGAGTCTAATTATTAAGTGCTGAAAGTCTCAAAATAAAAACATTCTTTAAATTTTCTCTTTGCCCCATCACAATGATCGTCAGTTACATGTTCAGATCTATGTCTCTTGTACAGATCTGAGCAAGAAATTGTGATTACTTATGAACAGTTTTATCTTATTGGATATAACGCCGAATAGCCCATTAAAAGCTATCCAACTTTTCGGAAAATTATATCGACTTTCCTTGTTGTCTGCTTTATGGTTGTTTTTGTTTGACTTTTCCTTCGACGTTCAAGATGAAGGCGACATGTCCCACCGAAACGTCTGTTGGCTTTCAACGGACTACATGTCATTATATTTCATTATATATACTATATATATTCATAACTACCGCTGTGAGAGCCTCAAATAATTCCTTTAATTTTAAATTTAATTTGCATTTGGATAATATAAGAAATTTACGGAATAAGCGAATTAGTGACGGTCTAACCTATTCTACCAACACATTTTTGCAAAAAGACGTCTGTATGTAGGAGATACTACAAATCCTTCACGTACAGAAAATGAAAGAATCTCGCCTCTCCAACTAGTAATGTGAGTTAGTGTGTTTAGTAGTGATACGAGGTTTAGGGCTATGTGTTTCGTCATGATCGGTGAAATGTAGCCCATTATCACAACATTGCGACTGCTGCGGGCTGGACGAATGAGGGATCGGAGTTCGAGTCGCGGTAGGGTCAAGAATTTTCTCTTCTCCACGTCTCTGTGGCTTAGATTAGATTCGCTTACTAGGGGGTGGAGTCCTACTGGCTCCACTCATCACGGCGGCCACTGATTGGCCTATTGTAGCCTGCCCCGGGTGATTATGATGATGGAGAATTTGGTGGAATGAAGATTAGCAAGGGAAACCGAAGTATTCGGAGAAAACCCGCCCCAGCGCCACTTTGTCCACTACTAATCCCACTTGTCCAGATCCGGAATCGAACCCGGACCGCCGCGGTGAGAAGCCAGCGACTAATCGCTTGAGCTATGGCGCGGCGCTCTGGTGCTTACCCAACCTTCTATCCATTGGGTATCGGGGGCTCTTTCCCTGGGGTTAAAGCGACCAGTGATTGAAGCCGACCAATCACCTCTAACTAGTGCCGAGGTCAAGAAAATGTGGATCTATACATCCACTTACCCATACACCTTCATGATGTGGTGCTTAATTACTTAAGCACGAGGAAAACTTTACGTTTTTATCCCATCATTAAATGCTAAGTGCGTTACTCACGGAGACTTGGCACGGTGTTGAGTCCAACAAATCGAAGAATGGAAATTCGTCGTCCTCATTTTCAACGGTAATATCAACATCATATCTCGTGTTTGCTGCTTGTACAAGAAACCTGTATCTTCTTTGGTCTTTCATCTCATAATCTTGAGCGGTTCCGACGACAAGGAACCATTTGCCATCGCTGTTCTCTGTCTGAAGTTCCAAGCTGGCCGCATTTCCAACAGAGAAAGAGAGTATACTTGGTGTATCGGACTCTGCAATAACAAAACAGTCACTGGATAAAAATTTCACTGTGTCACAAAATTGTCTCTGCGGAAGCGGAACGGCGGGCTTCACTTCCGCTCTTTGAGCTCCTACGGCTCGGACAAGAGTACAAACTGTATTCGAAGCTAGTACATACACGGTATATGGCCTGTTGTTCATTTGTTGCTTTTCTGATTCCACTGGACTTATTGTTCATTTATTACGGATAAAATATATTTTTGCAGAGCTAAACACGTGAAATTAATAACTCTACAAAGACTCAGAAATTTTTCCTATAAAGGATATAGTGATCAGGATTTTGACACCGTCTACTCTCGTAGGTGGGTACGGACATTTTGATGGAAAACATTCACTATATATTTAGTAAATAAAAAAAAGTAAAAGTAAAGCTATCCCTGTACCAAGCCGTGAAGGCCCATAGGGTTGTGAGACGTTGAGGGTCCCACATTATCTAGACAATCCGCTCAAAGATGGCGGTAAGGTTGTCAGCCTTACGCGCCGGCCGCGCTTTACTCCCCAGGAAAATTATTTAATTAATTCCT